AAACAGTTTGATTGGCTATTGCTCCAAGTTTGTCTTATGTAGACTTGGTCTGACTATGCATCTGACACATATGGACAGTCTCCATGAGATGATCACCAGTCTTATTGGGGGCAGCAGCCTGTGATTGGCTGAAATTCACATACTATGACTGGCTGAGACTGTTACTTGTTAGAAGAATATACTCCTAGTTAGATTGAAAATTGTTTATACCCTAAGTTAGGATGCACTAAACTATGTAGGAATTCAAAATACTGGCAGAAGCCTGAGACCAAATTTAGTTTCACATGACATATGTTTGCAAAGGCTTGTTGTCTGAAGAGGTACACCTTAAACTATAAACAAGAGTTACTTCTGGGTATTAGACATAGGCCAGTAAAAGAGAAATAGACACTTTTATTTTTAACTTTATACTCTCTTGACTGAATTTTTCCCTAAGTTATATTAATTAATTTTGTAATAAAAGATAAGTAATTTTTTTGTTTTTTTGAGACAGGGTCTTGCTAGTAGTTTAGGTTATATATCCCAGGCTGGCCTCTAACTCATGGTGATCCTCTTGCCTCAGCCTCCCAAATGCTGGGATTACAGGCATTCAGCATGCCCAGCTTTGTACAATTTCTTAAAATCCCCAAATATTAACACCTCTAGTTTAATCCTGGTCAAGGATACTGAAAATGCTAAATATTTCTTTTTCTAAGTGCTAAAGTATGTTATGAGAACTTGCTTATATATAAGAGCCTGTTCAGTGAAAATAATTTGTGTATTATTAATGCAGGAAATAATTTTGAGGCCTGCTTTCGTTTACACAGACATCATCTCTGACCAGCTGGCCCTTACCATGTAGTGAGTGATTCCAATAAATCAAGTCATTTACAATACAACTAGCAAGCTAAGGGCCCTGATAGGGAAGTAAGGGATTCTGGTTCCAGGGGCATCTATTACAGAGTTTGAGAAAGGCCTCTTAAAGTGGGTTGGCAAAAGGGGAATACAGTAGGAAAAAAGAAGGTGATGTAGATGTTCAGTGGTAGGATAAGCAGAACTATTCCAGATAGAGGTTCTGCAAATGGTACAGGCCTAGAAATGATACTTGGTGTATTTACAGAACTGGTAGCGGTAAGGATGAGGTTAAAAGTTGAAAGATGGAAATTTGAAAGGTTTGAGAGCTATAATCAAAGAGTTTGGGTTGTGCCCTAAAGACAGTAGCAGGTATTTAAGAAGAGCGATGTAACCCATGTAACGGAAGGGTTTCCTAAAGCTTCCTGTGGCTTAAGATTGGGCTGGACCGCTGCTGATTAGAATTAAGACTGGAAGAGGTCAAGTTGCCATGGACCAACTAAGTGATGGCTTGCACAGCGCTGTTGCTGTCGTTTCCTACAAAAACCAGAAAGACAGAAAATAAACGTTTGTAATTTATTGGATGTGAGGGCCTTATAAGGATGGACCCTACATTTCCCGGCTGTCTGGCCTAAGGGAGGATCCCGTTCAAGTAGACAGGGAACGAGGGGGAACAGAGAATGTAGAGGGGGAACAGAGGATGGAAAAATCAGGGCCAAGGAAAGTCATGCTTCAAGCTTTGGACAGGTTAAGTGTCTCCGAGACATGAAAGTGTCCAGCAGATTATATAAACGTGGGGGGCGGGGAGCTAAGAACATGGTTCCAACTTTGAAGGACTTTCCTCTCTTGACCAGAAATGGAACTATCACATGCTTGTTAGTTCTTCCTACATTCCACCATCAACTCAAGGACCCACCAAGCCAGGTCAGCGCGTTTGCGCATGCGTAGTAGTACCAAGCGCCAGGGCCGGGAGGATGATAGTTTTCCGCAATGTGAAGCAACATCCTCGCAATTCTCCATAGGAAAAAAGGCGGGAACTAGCCAAAAGGCACGGGAGTGATGGGACGCGCGGATCCGGGCATCCCGCCTACCTCGGCCTCTTATTGGTGGGTATCCCTGGCTCGTGGAAGGAGGGCTCTCTCCATTGGCTGTCAGTCTCCCCGCAGCTCTGGCCCCACCCCTTCCCCAGGCTGCCGACGTGGGGCTGCCGGACGCAGGCTGTTCGGGTTCGGGGTGCGGGTGCGGAGCGGGCGGCGGGGGATGGGGGGGCTGCGGCTCCTGGCGGTGGCCCTCACGTGCTGCTGGTGGCCGCAGGGCAGCCAGGGTAAGACCCTGCGGGGCAGCTTCAACAGCGCGGCAGCCCGAGAGGCTCAGGGCCAGAGCATCGGCCACTTTGCGTTCCACGGTAGGCGGGGGCCGGGGCGGAGGGAGGCGCGCGCCCCCGGGGTCCCTGCTCCGCTCCTCCCGGCGGGGGCGGCGGCGCCCGGCCTCACCTGGCCTCTCTGCTCTGCCGCTGCCCGGACCGGGATGCGCAGATTGTCAACCCAGGCCCGGCGGCACCCTCCCAAGGGCTCTGCGCCTGCAAACCGCTTTCGTTTCCCCAGCCCTCAGACCGAAGGAGAGCCCCGGGACGGGTGGGTTTCAGCTTTCCAGAGCCGTCCCCTGCAAGAAGCATCGTTTGCCCCTTGCTGACTCCACCAGATTGTCGACGTTCAGGCACCGTGGTTAACGTGTGGATGGATGGAAGTCCAGGAACTTAGATTTGCTGTTCTGTGTTTACGCTTCTTTGATAAAACCTGCTTGGAGCAGAGGGGTTGTGATCTAATTGGCATTATTGGCAGAACAGTATGTTTTCTTGGGTTCTAGAGTGGTAGATTTACGCTGGATCATGACACCTAAGATTTTAAGTTGGTAGAAATGCATGTAAGTGTATTCTGGAAGTTACATAGTTGGTATTCTCTTTGGCCCGACTGAAATCAGAGCTGCGTCTGATGTGTACCTTCTTGATCTCCCTGAATGAATTGGCAGTTCATTTTAATTTTTGCCTCATTTATTTCACTGTTTTCCTTCATACTCTTAATTTGACCAGTATTGTATTTCAGATAATTGTTTTCCTTGATGAAGTTAGGATCTTTGGTTTATATGGTCTTCAGTTCCGTTGAAAGGTGGAACTGTGAAGGTCAGAATATCCTAAAAAGGATTCTTAAAAGATCATAGAAATGAGAAATTTACAGTATTGGGAAATTACAGAATTGATAGTGTGAAGAGAGGGAAACTGATTTAAAAAAAAAAAAACTTAAGTTTTTAAGACAGCTACTAAAGAAATGAAACGTGGTTTTCCAAAATCCAGTGTGGAGTGAAGAAGGAACCCTTGAAATAGTTTCATTATTTTTATCCTAAATTGTTTCTTAATCAAGTCATTGAAACTTTGACAGTGATATAATGTCACTATAGTAAGTGGCACAGTCTGAACAGTGCTGGAAAATCTAGGATGTGTGGAAGTTGTGACATGAATTATTCCTCATGACCAGTAGAGAGACAGACAGCTCTGATATTCATGATGATTACCTGGGAAACATAGAGGAGAAATATGTATAAGTCCAGATTTCTTGGCTGGGGATAGAGGTCAGTGGCAAGTGCAAGGTCCTGAGTTCAATTCCCAGTACCAAAAAAAACCCACACACACACAAGCCAGGCATGGTGGCGCACGCCTGTAATCCCAGTACTCAGGAGGCTGAGACAGGAGGATCGTTGCGAGTTCAGGACCAGCCTGGGCTACAAAGTGAGCTCAAGACCAGCCTAAACTGCATAACGAGACCCTGTCTCAAAAAAAAGACAAAAAAAAAAAAAAAAAAACCAAAACAGATTTCTCAAGGCAGACTGAAGATAGGGTGTTCCAAGTATAGAGTCCTTCAAAAAATGTGTACATCAGGAAAAGAAAAACGTATAAATATTTTAATACTAAATTAATTGAGACATCATGAGCGTAATACAAGTTACCTTTGGCCTTTACAATTACAAGTGGTGCTCAAAGTGGTGGCCATTGGCTTCAAGACATTTATTAGTACGGTGAACTGAAGTGTGTATACATGTTTTTGGCGAAGTCTATATATACATATCATACATAATCATATTTCCATATATGCTGTATTATTACCGATTTTAGTGAATTCCAGTTCCGTACAATAATAATAGTGAAACTATACAGAAATAATGAACTGTAACTCTGAGTGCAATGTAAGGTATTAAATAGGGCCACAGAGTCACATTTAAGACTGTTGATAACATGGAGTGTAACCAATGATAATAACTGTTGTAACAAAAGTTGAAAAAAGAAATGGGACTCTTAAGAGCTTCGAACTGAAAAACACTTCCTTGTTTCACCTCTACTCACCCAGAGTCCCTTTCCCGAGACGCAACCACGTTTTGCTGTTTGTATTCTGAGTCTTGATTGTAGTAGACATGTGCAACCGAACTCATTCTAATTTAAACATTTTCCAGGCCGCTTATGTAAATATAGGATGGCCAAAAATTGCTTATTTTTAATTGATTTTTATAAGATAAAGGACATATATAAAGATAATTTTATCAAATTTACCGAGACAAGGATCGACTAAGGTTGAAATGACACGTGCCTGGCTCAGGATAGTCAGTGTCTAAACAAATATGCTGTCCCAGTGATGCTCAGGACAAACTGTTAAGTGGGTCACCACCTAACATATGCTGGTCTGAAAGTCCTTTTGTAAGAGTTATAGAAAAAAATTTTGTGTTAGGTGTAAAATGCATATTCTCCCAAAACGTTTATTGAATCTTTCTTGCTATTAGATATGTTTTAGTATTAAAAGCATAATTGAATATTATTAAATGTTATTAAAAAGAAACTGGCAGGCAATTTCTATAGTTAATGAAAAAAGTGTAAAAGATGTGTGGAGTAGTTGTAAAATGAGACAGAAATTCTGTTATACTGCATGTCCAAAGACCCCAAATGTTTCTTTATTTTGTTTGTGGTTTTTTCTGGTGTCGGGAATCGAACTCACGACCTTGCGCTTGCCAGGCAGGCGCTGTGCCGCTGAGCTAAATCCCCAGCCCCTCCCAAATGTTTCTATTACTCAGTGGAATGTTCGCTGCTGACAGCCGAATTATAAAGATAGAACACATTAATTTGAATAATGTCTTGCATCTGAATGCAATATTCATTCTGTTGTGATTGACCTAGTTAAGTGAGATTTAAGAAAATTGTGTTTTTTAAATTCCATTTTGGTCAGTACATGTCCCGTTGTCCTACCTACTTAGCGCCACATGAGACCAAACTAGCTGATAATTTTTGTTTTAATGTCAAGGTGACCATGCTCTTCTGGGTGTCAGAATCAACAACGTAGCAGTGGCTGTTGGAAAAGAAGCTAAACTCTACCTGTTCCAAGCCCAGGAGTGGCTAAAGCTGCAGGAAAACAATCCTGGTTATAGTTGTAGTGAAAAATTATCTAGAGCTCAGCTAACAAGTGAGTATGTTCTTTTTTTCCTCTTTTGACCATTACATCTGTGCCTGTTTTGTACCTACCAGAATGGTTCGTGACTGTGTGTAGCACATTTTGCAGTACATTTTGATCACATTTTGTCAGTTACATTTTAAGCTGAATGTTAAGGAAACTTTTTACTTGTTCAAAAGATAGACTACTTTTTTCCTCCTTTATCAATCTGAGTTTTGAAAAATTGCCAGGCAATTTATGAAGGGATCCTTTCCTTCATTCAGACTCTTTATAGTTTTCATAGTTCACGGTAATATAACAGATATTTACCTAGTAGCAGTGTGCAGAGAATAACGTTGGCTTAGTGTATGTTCTCTGCGAGCACAGAGCTAAACACTGAACATGTGTTGCCTCGGTTAACTGCATAATTTTGTCCAGTACTGCTTTATAACATGTCTTTGGAATATGAGACTTGGTCATTTGGTGACATGCATTTGTTGGTGTCACCACATCATTTGTAAACCTCTGGGTTTGCCTCTGGAGAGGCTGTACTTTATCTTAATCTAGTGGCTTGAATCTTCATCAGTCCATTCTCATCAGCATTATGCCATGCTTTAGGGTAGTGATGGTCAACCTGTCAGAGCTTTCAATAACACAAACAGCATGCTGCGACATGCGTGCCATAGGTTCGCCACCTCTGGGTATTAGCATTAGCTGTGTAGAGTAAAAGCCATGCAAAACTTTTGTAATCTAAAAATGAAGTACATATGTTATTCTAGCCATATTACCTCTTGTTACAGTAACTCACTGTGGGAGACATGAGGGATTGGATGCATCTGTGAGAAAAAAATAGGGCCCCCCCCTTCTCCCCATTGAAGGACTTATGTGCCTAAAGGAACATGGTTGGCTCTTTCAGCCTAGTCAGATAAAACACTTCAGTGTCTAAACATCTAGGTGAATCAGCGGTTGTCTGGTTCCTTCAAGAGAGCCATCCAGAATGGGAATGAAAGTAGAGGTTCCCAATCCTTGTCATCCTTTATGGCTGCCTGTTATCTAGATTTGTAGGATGACATTAGTAGTGTGCTAAAGAGGTCTGAGAGATTAGATTCAATTATCAAAGAGATAGTTACATAAAGTTACCTCAACTCTGAATTTCCGAGTTTACCAGGGAAATTCGTAGAAATGCTCACTCTTGTCCTTTCTGTACCAATTTGCTCTTCTGAGTATCCTACATCTTTAATATAAAAGTTTACAACCTTTGGTTCCAAACTGAATTCCCTGTGTCCACCGTCCGAACCCTCTGCTCTTCCAGTGTTGCCTGCTTCAGGAACCGGCAACCCCAGCCAGCCGGTACACAGGTGAGAACAGGAACCTTCTAACGCTCCCCTCTTTGACCTCTCTGCCCCTTCCCAGTCTGCCAGTAGATCCCCAGTCTGGTTGGTTGGCTAGCTCCCAGGTAGAAATACGACAGAAGGGTCTGGCAAAGCAAAGCTGCCTAGTTCATGGCAGCCAAGAAAAGGCACAGAGGAGCAGCGCCGGAGAGGACAGGGCCAGGACTAGGTATAGAACCCAAGGTCACACCTCTGTGACCCGCCCAGACACACCCAGAAGGGTGCCTCACTGAGCCTGTGGACAGCTCCCAAGCCAATCAAGTTGACAGTTAAGCTTAACTACCACAGGAGCTAAGTATAATACTGTATATAAAACATTTGATACTGTCTTTTTATGTCTTATGCATATTATTCCTCTTGTATACTATTTGGTATATTTTAAAAAGCATTTAAAGATGTTAGTTTTTTATTTTGTGTCTTTTGCTTCATAGTATTCCTTTCATAATACAATTGGGCAATTATCTATTCAACGCCATTCTCTGCAATTCAGGTTTTGTTAATATTTGAGGTCCTAATTACGCCAGCCTAGACTACACATGCTGTGCTGTAATCTTTTGTCTCAGAAACAATGAACACACAGTTTTGTCAAGAGGCTTGCTTCCCGGGCTTGTTGAAAAAGACAGCTTGTTGAAAAAGACAGAAACTACAGGCCAGTATCACTTTATAAGCATACTTTCATTTCTGTTTGATGTAGTCCACATAGTTTAAAAAGAAACATCAAAAATTATATTGTTGAAAATATTGTGGTGAATTTTCTATTGTCTTACCAAAAAAGTGAAGTGATAAAACAGCAACATAGCAGAACCTTTATATAATGAGGTCCCAATTATGTAATTGCAAGCCCCAAGTTTCAACAACTTTATTTTTGCACCAGTTATTGTTCATATATTAACTTCTTATTAAAGGCCTTCAAGTATTTCAGAGAAACTACATTTTAGCTATAATCAGTTTGATTGAAAGAAAGGAAAAAGAGAATTGATGTTTACTTAGCAATTACTCTGTTACAGATACAGTGCTAGGTGACTCGTAGCTTAGCTCATACAACATCAATCCTTTACTGTAGGTGTTATCCTCATTTTACAGATGAGGAAAGTAGAACCGTTGCATATGTACCTTGCCCTAGGTCACATAGCAGGTAGGAACTGAAGCCAAGGTTCCAGAACAGATCTTATGACACCACATTTATGACTCTTTTTCTTCTAGTATGTCATACTATTGTGTATGGTCCCAACTCAGTGTAACTTTTACATCCCTGTAATTTCTATTTGTATACTTTTTATATATTTTTGAAGAAAGACCTGTTAGAAAAATATTTCAGAAAATCTTGGAAAACCATTTGTCTGGGGACAGGCATGGTGAGTCACGCCTGTAATCCCCGCACTCAGGAGGCTGAGGCAGGAGGATCGTCGTGAGTTCAAGGCCAGCCTGGGCTACAAAGTGAGCTCAAGGCTGGCCTGAACTACATAGCGAGACCGTCTCAAAAAGAAAAAAAAAAAACTTGTCTGGCATAATTCTTAGATATATTGTAGTATTTTTTTAGTTGAGTGCTCTATTTTAAATTAACACAGTTTTTAAAAAGTGTTGCTGTAATTGTTCCCTTGCATTGTGGATGTGCTTCCTGCCACAGACTGTGCTCTTAAAAATGGATAAATGATAAATTTTGCATATATTTTATCACAGTAAAATAAATTTTAAATGTTGCATTTAGGAACTTTGAAAGTATTTAAAAGTAAAATTGAAACTTTCAGTGAAGTTATTCTGCTCATTTGTGGTTTTTTTAGTATTTTATTGTGATTTTCATTTTAATTCCTTTCCAATTTGTGTGCCTATTCCAGTATTATACAAGAGCTTGGATTTCTGAGGCCAAAAAAAAAGACAGAAGAAGAATTCTCACCCTAAACTGATTATATAGCTAAGACAATGAATGCATTGCTGAATTTGACTTTGAAAGGTGCTATTTTCTTTCTCTTTAAAGTGACAATGAACCAGACTGAACATAATCTGACAGTGTCCCAGATTCCGTCTCCACAAACGTGGCATGTGTTTTATGCAGACAAGTATACATGCGGAGACACTGGGGAGACTCCTCAGGTGGAAGATATCCCATTTGAAATGGTGTTGCTAAATCCAGATGCCGAAGGGAACCCATTTGACCATTTTAGTGCTAGAGAATCTGGTAAGAATATGTATTTGAATATATCATAAGTTTTTTAAAAACACTTACGTACAAATATCTTCACATTATGTTTTTGTAATGTTAAAAACTAAAAAGCAGCCTGTAGGCTTAACAATAGGGAAATGGTTAAATGAATCTTATTAGAGCATTTTGATGTAATATTATTAGAATCTTATTAGAGTATTAGAGATTAGATGTAATATTAAGTTTAAAAAGCAGAACACTGAATTTTATACTGCATGACTGCAAGCATACTTAGAACTGCAGAAAATAGAAAAAGTATAAAAATATGATCAGGTTGTTTCTATATTCTGGGTGATAGAGTTATATAATTTTTAGTTTCTTCTTTACAGTTGAAATCTTGTTTTTGTGATATCCTAGCATTAATGTAATAGACATGTTAGTAAATTGAGCAATCTAAATTAGTCAGTGACTGAAATGACTGAAATTAGAAACTGAACTCTCCTTTATTGGGTTGCTTGAACAAATACAGACATTGCCTTTATTGGTGCTTACGGTGGAATGGTCAGAGTCTATAATTTTTCTAGAACTAGATTTACTCCCATAAGATATTTCATCAAAATTTTAGATGACTGTGTTCTGCCCCGCTGTAGCGAGAGTCCTAGCTCCATCAGAACAAAAGACTTCTTGTGATCATGATAAACATGCTATAAAAAATAATGGCAGATTTGTCAGTTAGTATGTTGGAGCAGGGTTCTTCCTAGGCCATATCAGAAGCGTTCGGGGTTTACCTCTTCATGAGTTCATTGCTGATTTGAAAGAGTCAGTCAGCTTGGAGAGAAGTCAATTCCATTCCATCCCATTGGCAGGAAAGGAGATGGGTGGAGGGTGGGGTAAGAGTAAGGCCCCACTGGACTGAACTGCTTGCTGAGTTCAGAGTGTACATTTGCCATAGCAAGAAGGCAAGTGAAGATAATGTATAGTAGTAGATCACAAGTAATGCGTATAAGAATGAGTAATGTAAAGTAGATAATGTATAGTAGTAGATAATGTATAGAAAGATAATGTATA